TTGACCAGTTTGAATTTTCTTATAGGTGATTTCTCCATCAACACCCACTCTTCTATGTCCAAGTTTCTTCTCTTTTTCTTTGGCTTGGAGATCATCTTGTTCAGCAATTGAGATATCTTTTTCAGTAGCAACATCTAAAACAATCATAAAATAAAATCAGCATCAAGAAATTGTTAAAAATCCATTAAAAAAGGACAAAAATGAATATATAATAACAAACATACATAGTAATTAACATATTATATACATGGAATCATACAAATTATAAAATTATAATTATTTAATAATCTATTCTAAACACATTTTGTTTTTTATTTTTCTAAGGTTCTAATATTATAGTACTTGATATACATATATCTAAAATAGGTAGTTTACATGGACTATACATAAATAGATAATATTAATAGTTTTCAAACGAGGGCGGCGCCTAAAACTGTTTCACTCTACTCACTTCCCATAACTGCATTTTATCTAAATAAAAAGTTAAAACTGCAATGGTAGAATATACACGAACAAGTTTCACATCATAATCTGAAATCTTAGTCAGCGATTTGTAATACTATTGATTGTACTACAAATTAAATTGTAATACGTGGTCTTAAATTTTCGATATTATTACACGTTTTTGGACTAGAGTACATTTCATTCCAAAACATCAAATAAATACCTCGTTGAAAGAATAATCGTCGCCCGATTATCCCAACAAAGAAAATTGTATGGCGCCGTCCACGTTCTCGAAAACATGACAATAGGTCGAATGTCGTTTGGCGAATATAGCTGACAACTGCAGTATACTATACAGTATGTGTCTCTAAAGCCGCGTTGCGTGCTAACATACTATAATATGTATAAATATATAATTCACAGGTACAGTATCAAGCTACTCGTACAATTAAAGTCTTACCCGAAATTTTATGGCATCTTACAAAAAAAATCAGACATTTAAAGAAATCAATCATAGTCGAAGTAACAGTTTTAAATACATTTTATGATTCATGAGTGAAAAACCGTGCTGTAGAAAAGTTAACTGGCGATCACGAACACACATAGAAATCGAAATGATTAAATGTCATTCAACACCACAGAACGACTTATCTGAGTTATCATTTATATAAATTCGATAAAATTGAAAATAATTACTTGTCGTTTTCAATAAACAGATAAGACGATGCGTATGTAAGTAGGATCATAAATTCATAAATAATATCAATCATAAATAGTTTAGTTTAACCTGATTCCTGAGCTATTATATATTTCTACACTGTATATGGGAGTAATACTTCGTCAGTTCGTCATAGACGTTTGATAATAATAGCTAAAATCATACCGCACTCGTAAAAATAACAGATCAGTCAGAATTAAAAACTTTAGATTTTTTTTACAATATCTCGGACGAATACCTATTCTGAATCAAAGCCATTATAATTAATTTGACGTTAACACTAACACTGTATGTGTTTAAAAATTATGTTTTAACTACGAATATAAATAAATCACTAACTAGTGATGGTGAAAATTGTTATTATCGTTATTAATAATGGTTTACATGAAAATTCTAAAAATACTGTCTTACCCACATACTCAGAATTCAAGACCTATACATATTATACGTATGGAGGCACAACTTTTATTTGTGTAGAACGACTAGAACGCTGAACGATCAGTATAATATAAAATGTGCTAAATTTGTCTTTGTAAAATATGCCGGTTAACACGAGCTTTCAAGTATACAATACAATGTAACGATTAATATTCTTTAACAATAAAAGAGTTAATGTATGGTAGTTTCAAGCTTTCATACTATTCAGTATATTACGATTACCCTCCCATTAAACCTTGAAAATACGATATGTACGAGACCATTTTAAACCATTAATTCGCACATTTTGACTATCATCAACATAGGTAATATAATAAATAAAAAAAAAAAAATTCTTTCATTTAATATTTTTTGGAAAAATTAGATTTGATGACAAGCATGTATAGAGTAAAGGCTTTATTAAATATGGTTAACATTTATGAAATATGTTAATTATGATTTTTTTTAGATGTACGTTATACATAATTAAAATAAAAGAAAATATTATTTAATGCTATTATTAGCACAAAAATTACTCTGTTAATTAAACATTTAATCAAATTTTTGAAAATATTAATCCTTGAGAAAATTCATTAATTAACAAATATTTAAATAATAAAACATGAATGTTATTTAAAAAAAAATTCAGACATTTCTATGGGATATATTTTTTTACAGAATTCTAGGCCCAATGATTATACTGAGGAGTCCAATCCATATAATACCTATATATTAAAATAAAAAATCAATTCCAGGATTAAAAAGTCATTTATAACAAAGAGATCAAAACTATTTTCACTAAATCCAATTTCAATATAAACAAGATTATATTATTAAGATAAATTTATTAAAACAAAAATATATAACACCAAACTCTGTTTCTACTGATTTTTATGTTTTACAATAAAATATACATTAAATTTGTTTTAAATAGTTTATTTATTCTCATTTCTTATAAGTATTTATAAATTATACTTGCTCAACAATTTAACAAAATTATTAACTTACCATTAAAAGTCATTAGAAGTTAAGTTAACTTTTAAATTTATATTGTAGCTAAATAAATTTTATTTATTTGATATAAATATACATTTAATTAAGTGTAAACTCAATTATGAATGCAATAATATCAACTAATTTCCATAAAATGTAAAACTATATTTAAATACTTATACAATTTCTGAAATTTAAATTTACCTATTATTAAAACTTAAATATTAGTTCAACATTTTTGAAAAATGAATTAACTAAAAATTGCTTTATTCTTTCATTAAATAAATGGCTTAGATTTATTTTTGTGAAATTTAATTAAAAATTTAAAAATCTATTTTATAAATAAACATGGCTTATTAACTCTGTTGATAATAGAATGTACATTATTTAGAATATATTATAAAACCTAAATTAAAAATAGAAACTAGAAAAAAATGTTTTATTTTGTGTGTATATATTTTACTCATTTTTCAAAATTTAATTAATTTTAGCTATTATAATATTTTTGGTAATTACTAATCAATAATTTCCATGATATACATAATATGACAAGACAAAATTAATAGTAAAGTAATAGATATCTAGGGAAGTTCTATTATCTTTATTTAATTTAAAAAAAGTAGGTACTTAATTATTAAACCGTATATTGAACTAATATGATTATAAATTAAAATCAATTAAAATCAATTAAAATAAAAAAAAAAACTGAAAATGGAAATTTAAAAAAATATATAAGTATTGCTTTTATAAATATTTTTCATATGGATACACAAATCTATTTTTGAATATTTAAATCTATTCCTAATAATCTATAGCTTTCTTTTATAAAACTCTACTGAATATAAATAAAAATATGTTTAAATCTCAATCATTGGATTATTATGACATAACATATTGCATACATTTTTGGATGGTCATTTATCATTCATAATAGAAAAACAATCCTAAGAGTAGTTTTAGCTAACATCATACATGTTAATAAAGCATATATAAAAAAATCATGTACCCTAATATTAAGAACTTTGATTAATCATAATATTATATCAAATAGTAAATAATAATAAATTTAATACTTTTTTATATTATTAATTTGACAAATTCAGTTAGTGCTAACAAAATATATATAAGTATAAACATTAAAAATATTGGTAATTAAGAAAAGTAAACATCTAAAATTTCTAATAATTAAAAAAAAAAAAAAACCATTTAAATCTAACAATTAATTAAACATGGCTGCACATAAGTTTAATCGATGCTATTAATTTTTTATGTCTAATAAATTATTATTTTTTATTTATTTATTTATAGGCATAATAATATAAACATTTAAAAGTAAAATTGTTTAATGTCATAGCAAAACTGTATTAGTTTATGCCTACCAACCAACTTCATTATAATTACTAAGTATAGCCTAGGAAGATTAAACTAATACTTATTTTATTAATAATTTTGATAATAAACTTACAAATTATATAAATTAGTTATACAAATAGTTTTAGAAATAATAGGTAATGGTCAATGAAGTACAGATGTAACAAGTAATCTACTACATTTGTTACAATTTTTTTTTGGTAATTTACCGGTAACCACTCACTATAACTATGTGACTGGGCAAACCCTTTTCCCATTGTGAGATAAGTAGAACTAAGGACCTAAAGTGATAAATGAAGAGTATAAATAAATTTGAATCAATTTTATTTATTCATACAACTATTAACAACAATGAAAATTATGTAGACCAACAAACCGAGCACGTTGAATGTTTAAGAAGTGTTATAAAACAAAATTATGATTTATAAGTATGAAGCAAAACAACATTTCCTGTTTGAAAAGCAATTGAATGGTAAAAATCTATGCAATATGCATCAGCTGTTAAATGAATCAATTAGGTAAGTATTACTATTATAAAATACCTAGGTAATATTTTATTAGACAAAAACATTTTTAATAAATTAATACAATTTTATAGATTATAAGCAAATAGATATCAATTTACTTAATTTTTTTTTTTTTGCATTCCTACAAAAATTTGTAAGTAAAATGAGTAGATCACTTATAACACTGTTACTAGAAATGGTATTAAAATATTACTGTACATATAACCATAAAAACCAATACCATTATCATTTAATTGCTTTAAACAATAGTCATTTATTGGATGCTAAAATTAATTATTTTAAAAATAAGAATAATATATTATAATACATAATAATTATATCAATAATATTCAACTTACCTTTTTCAAGTGTTGATTCAATCTGTTCTTCAACGGCAGGTCTGATATCATTAGTAGCCATTTTGTTTAAGATTTTGCTACTTGATTATCTGTATCTATGCATGACCCAGCAACCTCGTTTAATTTAGCAGCTACTAACTCATTGAACCGTTGACAATAGCCTTTGCTGATATTAGTAAATAGTGCAAAGTGAGTTTCGTAACACACTTGTGAGCTATTGGTGTCTTGATCAAAAGCTTTGGCAACAACCCGAAATCCTTGTTTGTTCAAGAGCACACAAAACTGTTGATTTTCAAGAGTTTCAATATTCAAATAAACACCATCAGAAACTTTCAAGGGCGATATACTAATATGATTCAACAGGGATATCTCACTCTCAATCACAGATTTTGCTTCAGTGTACCAATCAAGTGGCGTTTCCATGTAAGTGATTCACCTGAAACATATAAAAAACTCATTAACGTTTTGGTAACAACAATCAAGATGAACCAGTTTAAGCCAAGGTTAACAATGTTTTGCCTAACCTAAAAAAAAAATGGTTTAAGTTGAAGGACGCAAATGGCTTGAATATTAAAAACATAAAAAATACATGTAAACGACGGCCAAACCAGAGTCAACAATAATAAGAGGCGGTCGAAAGCTAGGAAAATCGTTAATGGTTAGTGTATTAAGATGCACACAACAGATACTGTAAACTTGATATTAGTAGGAATAATTTTTGGATAGGGCAAAATGACTTACGGGTGGGTGTTTTGTTCAAAGGTCGACCAGGTAATCTAAAGGAAAGGGCGGGAACCGTTGTGCCATCCGTTTTAATACAAAAAAAAACACGTCGAGTGAATTCTATAACAGAACATTTTCGCGAAATTTAAAAAACGCATAATAATAATAATAATAATAATATTAATAATAATAGTATTATACAATAACTAAATATCTACAAAATAATCACAGAACCCGAAAAATTATCACTAGTCTTCACGAATCACAGGTACTGATAATAGGAACGGTTTCGGGTGTTGAAGTTAGCGACGATCGATGATGAACCATTTTCCACTTATTTCTTTGAAAACACCGTCTGTCGCCGTCACCACAGGACTGCGCGGGTTCAGCTGGATTTCATGTATACTCGCGCATCTCCGTCCCACTTCGCACAATATTAATATTATTTCGTTCCGTCACGAATATTATAACAATATTATATTAATGTTATAATGTGTACGTCGAACGAATTCTTTTTTACGTTTGCAAATTCTATAAAAAAAAAAGAAAAAATACATAAACGGAAATAAACGCATTTTAAAAGAACTCGACAGTGTTTCAATTTTACCTACATTTCCTTACACAGTTAGTAGACACCTACCTACTTGCTTTATACTATTATACTACTTGCTATGTATGACATGAAAGCGAAACGATCGAAAACTTTTAGAGATCGCCGCGCACTACATCCCGACGGCCGCGATACACCGATACTACCTACCTACCTACCTATACATTCTATTATGATAGGTAATATGTGTATAGGTACGTAGATGGTGTTTGTGATCCGAACGATAATCGCGAGACCGTGGTCAATAATACTACGGCACGAATAATCTAAGTAAAAGAACGAAATAAAAAACAATGTAGATCACGAAATTTGATCGATTTGAGTTTCCCGTCACGTACTTTCGTAGGTATTTATTATTTTGCGATCGAACGACGCGCGACTAGCCGCCCGGACTAGGTACGCCGCAGTGACTATGCAATTGGTACGATTTTAAAAACGGTAAATGGGCGTACAGCTCTCTGTACGTAGGTAATGGACAACCAAATACAGCACCTACCTCTCGCAGTACACCAGTGTATACCGTATACCTAGTTAATAGGCGGGCACCAACATACACGCTTTACGTAGAAAGTATCAGCGTAAAATAATAATGTCATGATTGTACAGCTACGTCGGCGACGACCTAAAACGTCTCCGAACGCGATATTAGATAGCCATAGCAAGGTTAGCTTGGTAGCTAGATATTCCTGCACGTGCGTTTTATTTTTTTGTCATTTTATCGGCTTTATGGCACCTGAACCACCGCAGTTTATCGTATGAATTACCTAATGAATCAAAATGCGATCGTAAAAAATATATTATACCTACTGACTACTGTATTACTATGACAATACGATACAATTAAACGTCGCAGCACTTGCAGATAAATCATATTTAATAGTAGGTATAGGTGATTGGGCGATTGGCAATAACCTACATAATATTATAATATATTATATATTATTATATACGATCGAAATACGTAGTAGATACCCACCCACAACTGTTATACTGTCGTACACTCGTACCTATTTGAAGACGTGGTCTAAACCATAGAACTATAAGGAAATTGATTTATTGATATGTCTTTAATCTAAATACATTTATTAGCCATTAGGTATTTTTTTATATTGCAGAGAGAATAATACCTAAGTATTTTTTTAATATTATTATACAAGAAAAGCCGCGGTGTCTTGCGTGTTTTCTTGAACAATCATATTTCATAAGTATATAAATAAAATAAGTCCAGCAAATAGATAGGTAGATACTCACAACAGGAAACGTAAATGTTGGCGGCATACCTACCCAATAATACCTATATTACGAGTATATTGTTACAATGATGTAGTCGCCATCAACAAATAACGAAAATTCAGATTTCAGAAAGATTAAATGATTTTTAAGCTAATATATGGCGTATATAGAATACATATTATAATAGTAGCGTTCATGAAATATATAAATGATCTCGTAATTTTTTTTGTACTATGTAGATATGTTTTTCGAGAATATGTCTTTCTTTATTACCATTGGTTATAAATTACAAAAAGTTGATATACACATATATTATAATTTAAAGATAATAAATTTGGTACTTTCGGTCATCGTTTTTTATAATTTTTATAGCATCACTATATCGTCAATGTATAGGCGTTTTTTGTTGGGTAGATCCCATATGACCTTTATTTTTATAATCCGAAATAACTGGTGTTTTTGCTATTGAGATTTATTGGCATTTATATAATGTAACAAACAAATGATATGTAGTTTGTTATGAATAATTTTTTTTTATTGAATTTTTCCATATTTTTTTTTAATACTAAAATATTAATTTTTATAATACCTACTTTTTTTGTCCACTTAAAAAACTTATTAAATTTTACCTTGTTTCAGAAAATTAATCATTATTGTTAATTTATAAGAATACGGGTTTGTAAAATACCATAGACGATGTGTAGATACTTAAAGGAATATAAATTTATTACAATGTGACTGATTATTTTTCTTAATCTAACACCACTTTTAAAACCATCTAAATGAGATACTATTGTTGATTATTAGCAATTCATAGAAAAGTAGTTATTGATTCCAGAGAAATAATTATCCATGTCTCAAAAATCAAAATAAATAGATAGGTGTTTATATTTTTATTAATAACAATTACACATATTTTTTTAATAAAAATTATAGTAAAAATAATGCTTATTGAAATTTAATAACTGTTTTATATTATTACTAGTGAAAATATTACGAGTCTACGACTCCACAGTAAACTTTTAAATGCATTTTATTTATCTTTTTAATAAAAAATCTCGACAAAATAAACGTCAAGAACTATTAAATTAAAAACCACATAAACAATATAAATTATAAATAACCATAATGTTAGATCTTAGATGACACTTCTTAGTATTGTTGGGTTCCGAACGCATTTTACAAGTTTTTATATTTTATTAATTAATAGTTTTCATAAATTAATAACCAAGTCATAAATGAATAAATTAATAACGTGACTATCGTAATAACCTTTGTTGTGAAATGAAGAGTTAATTCATACTTGAAAGGAAGATTGCTAATGGTGGTAGAATATGAAAAACAAATTTGTTAGTAAAAGTGGCTAATACCTATTAATTAAACCACACATTATTAACATTAATATTTTCCTAATTTCTTAGTTTATATAAATGTATGAAAAATTTGTGTAAATATTTTCAATTTTTTTGATTTTTATTTCTCTTGAACGCTATTACGTTAAAAATTATATATATGTACGTTATTTAGATATAAGGTGACCGATCGAAAATTTTTAGGGTACTTTTACAAAAGTTTCAGTTGTTTCGATGAAAATGCATGACTTTGACTGTTAAAAACAAAACCGATTTATATTTAGCATTTTACGCCCAGGGTTTCTAATAAATATAGTGCACGTGTTAAGAAAATAATATAATTTACCTACCTACCAACCCTTCTAATATTTAAAACCCTACAATAATGATGCCCGTATTTAAATTAAATCGTGCCAAAGTAATAAAATGATTTTTAGTCATACATAATAATGGTTTATCGTTGATTATAAAATCTCATAATACAAAATATACTATTGTATTGAAGATAAATGGTGTTTTCTAAATTGTACAGTCCATACGCGTTAAATTTAACACTTAACGTTCAATTCTTCTATTGTTCCAAATAAAAGCTTATTGTCCGTTGGTGACGGTGTTTAATAATTAAGCTTATTGGATAAGTTCATTGATTAAATGTATAACTTATAAGTTATTGTTTCACCTAAAAATTGATACTAAACACTATTATCTATATAATAGTTATAGGTTTACTTCTTTTTATAATTTTTAAATGATAAATAGTGTTATGAATAAAAAGCACTCAAACTTAGTTTAATATACACGCACTTAAGAACTAAAAGTTAACTATACAATTTATAAAAAAATATCTGCAAATGCGTACTTTCAAAGTTAATTATTTGAAAATTGGCAAATATAAATAAATAAATAAATAAAAAATGTATGTAATATTATCATATACATAGTAGGTACAATTCCTTTTTGTATAAAGAAAGGAACATTTTATAAATTATAATTATGAAACTTTGAACAACCCTTAAAATATACACACTGCAGTTAGTTAAACTAAATTATTAACAATTTCGAGGTTTTGATGTTGATATTTAATTAACTAAAATTATAAAGGATTAGATTTAATAATATTACATTATAGTACACATTTATTAGTATCTAGTACATTTATTTATAGTGCATTAGTACCTACTACCTATACGTTATGAGCGTTTTGTAATTTTGTATAGGTATTGTATTCTCCGGTTGAGTTTTTGCGCGGAATCCAATGTGCCGATAGAAATGTGTTAACGGAATTAGGCGTGGTCAAGGGCAATAACGAAGCAATACATTGCATATGTATTACAATTCATTATTATAATTTATAGGTATAAATTTATATTATATATACAAAGTATTTAATGTTTATATACATACCTATACAAACGTATTAATATAATAATATAGGTATACAAATAATTTTATTATGAACTCGAGTATTAAACACAAAATTTTTTTAGTTACTTATATACATTCATTGTAAGTTATAACAATAATTTATAATTAATTACATATTAAATCGTGTTTAGGTATACATTTATTAAATACCTCATGAATTTATTTAATAAAATAATTTAAATATAGTATAATAGCTATATATAGTCGACAGTCGTATGTATATGTGACATATACATAGTAAGCTATTATTGTATTAAAGCTCTAAATCATGAAAATCATTTAAAATTGCATCGAAAAAAATAATGATTATTTGATTTTATGTTGAATGAATAAAACTAAAATAGCAACTATAAATGCTGTTCAATAAAAAAAAAAAACATTCTTACTTGTAGGTAATACGCGCGGTGACTGATAAAATCAAACTTTCTTGCTGCAGGTATATAGGTATATGTAAGGAAATAATGCCTCTACGTGTTGTTTGATTAGCGCGGAAATTTTTTTTTTTAAGTGTCATAAATTATTATGTCTCTATATTTAATGTAAAGCTATATGTACTTACATAAATATTCTATGTAAATAAATATTTGAAAATTTTATTTTTTCATCTTGCATATGAAATATAAGTAATTATTATTTATCAGATAATACCTAATGGCTATTTTCTGTTATATTTTTATTGTGATATATTTTCATATAGCTAAAAATTATATTGTATGCGATTAATTTACTAAATTATAGTGTAATTACTAATTAATAATATAATATCATATTATCTAAATTTTACTTATTTCTGAACACGCTTTAAAATTATTCATTTAATGATTAGATCTATATACAAACATTTAAGAATAAATTTATAAATATTTAGTTTGGTGATAATTTTGAATTTTAGTTATACTTCCCCTTCAAGCAAAGAATCACTAGTGAGTGACTTCTTAATCATGTAAATCACAATGTATTATTCTTTTTCCTCATATACTTATTGTGCTTTAATTAGTACAGATTGTATATTTATAATAAAAAAATAAAAATAAAAGTTATACTTGGATAAATGATCATAATTAAAAAGTTTTTTGTTTTAAAATTATTATTGAAAACTATAACAAATAATAACAACAATAGTCAATAATAGACTAACTAATTAAACAATAAATTTAAAAATAATAATAATATTAAATTCAAAATGTCTATTCCATTAATAAGTACATTAATTATTCAAGTTACCTAGGTGTTTTATTTAAATAAAACATAGGCTTAAACAAAACATTGAACTTCGACACTTGTGGAAACAATAATTAACATTTATAATCTTTATATTCTATTTTATTATATTATTGAATGTTATCTGGAAAACATTAATCAAAAGTCAAATGTGCATGTAATTATTGTTTATTAGTTTATTACAGTAAAAAATATTTTTTTCTCTTATCAAAAATGACCTTGGATCTTTTAAAAAGTAAAATATCTGTTTAGTAAATATATATAACAATTTTAGTGTCAATAAATTTAGAATAAATGTTTAATATGGTATGATAATTTTTAGTTCTAAATTTTATAACACACTCGTACACTAAACATAAATATATTTCTTTGTAAATAATTAATTAAAATGAATTATACTTAATAATAAGTTATTAATTATTAAAATTACAATTAAATTGTCGACACTAGTTTAATACTATTTAAATATATTTATCGCTAACACAAATTTATAAAACATTAAATCAAACATATTTAAAACATTTAATACTATTTTATACCTACGTAGGTAAAATACATATAATAATTATACAAACAACTAATTTAAAATTAATTTTTAATCTCAATCCGTGAAAATTTAACACCAACAGATTTGTTAGAAGTGTATAGAATAACGTCGGAACAACACTAAGCTACAAAAATCACAATTGTTATTTTGTGTATTGTAAAAATGTGAAACCATTAAGTAATCTTTCACATCTTACTACCAAATAATACTGCTGTAGGTGTTTTACTATGTTCCGTATTTTAAGACGCTCGAACACGGGAATCGACTTAAATATTTGTGTACGTAATTGTTAATTATTACACAACACGAGTTAGCTCCTTAAAAACTAAAACCCTGACCTATAGACAAATACATGCAACAAGCATTTTACGAAAAATAAACACGAAAATGTAATAAACACGTCGCGACAATCTTATTATTGGTCTTACTTACGGTTTCGTATGCCGAAAGATAAAAAAGGTCACATTTTTTCAACGTTGACCACAGAACATGGAATGATTCGTATCTAAATGTCGGTGTGGCGTCTGCTGTTAATACACTCATTTCACTTATAGCATTTAGATTTTTTTGTATAGATACAAAAAAAATGATTAAAAATTAATCAATTTATAACATATATTTAATCCGAATGGACATTAACTATATTAGTTGAAAAAGTTCTACGCAAAAAGAATTAAATATTAAGATATGTAATTGCACATAAGTCATAAAAATAATACGAACATTAAGCGTTTGCTATTTACTGTATTAATAAATTCTTGTATTCTGTTACTCTTCAGTTGTTAACTTTTAAACGTGATACAACATTGTATAAATTTTTTGGCGATAGATAAAAATATGATTATAGTAAATTGGTTAATAATAATAATTTTAAAGTTGCTGACAATCGAACAATTTAATATTTAAAACGTGTGTTACTTCGTATTGATAAAAGAAGGTATATTTTATACCTACATTACGTAACATAGTATTCAATAACTAATCATAAAATATCTGAATATATATATAATATCGTATTAGCAAATCTTTTATAGCTATAGTGTAGCTACGTTCCGTGGTATAAATGTGTTCCACGGTAAGTATTACTACACGCTATACGCATGCCGATATATTATATTACACAGTGGTGGATAAAAGTGGGGGTGGTTAAGGGGCTGAAGCCATCCCCTTGGATACTATTTCAATGTTTCTTGCTCGTAAGTATTAGTTAGCTTATTAAATTTTGTTTGTTTAGTATAAACATAAACATTAAAGTTTCTAACAGTACCAACAATACTTTATAGTTTATAATATAATGTTTATCGTTAACATCTTTTAAAAGCTACGAAATACGAATGTTTAATTTATTTATTAGAATACACAAGGCCAAATTTATTAGCTCCGTGAAAGCATTTGTGCTCATATTCTTTAATATAGATTCATATTTTTACTAATTTTTTCCTAAAAGTATAGTCGTTTAGCAACTATACATAATAGTTTTTTTGGTATTTTTTTAGATTCTGAGCGAAATGATTTTATTATGGTGTATACAATAAATTACTGATAAAATGCTGCAATTTTCAAAATGAAAGTGGTTTTGAACTTTTTTTAGCTTATTTAAAACAATAGGTTTACAGTAAAATATTTTTACCAATATCAATCTATGATTCATTTGATTTTTATTCAATATTTTACCAAAATCTTGAATTAAAATAGAAATTTTATATGGTAATTCATGAAAGGTACTTGATGTTCAAATAAATTCATTAAAAGTCGGTATAATCGCTATGGTTAGTATAGGAAAATAGGTGTTGTTTCTTTGCTCGTTTTCAATTTATATCTATTTTTGAGACTTCAACTATACCCCTATTTACCATAATCATACGTATATTTTGAAGAAATTATAATTCAAACAAATTAAATTTTTTTAATCACACATTTGGACAGTAAATCACAAAACTTATAAATAAATAAAGTAATAAAGATTATAATTTTCAGTAAATAATTCCTTAAAAATATTATTTAGAAAAATGTAATCGACGAAGAAAAAACCAACGAGTCACTCAGTATATACATTTATACAGTATATTATGATGTTACTATATCTATAGTAATATTAATATCATTGTAATATTATCAGTATACACTATACATGTATAATGTATATATCATATAGCCATTTGGTAAACACTATCGTTATTTGCCATCGTCTAGACTCTAGACTCGCGTGTAAGGGTCATCTAAATGGATTTTTTTTTTTGTAAAACAATAATAAAACAAAAATTCCAAAATGTACAACAGGCATAATCGATTTCACCCAAATACATTATACTTACGTATTAAATATCTACCGTTCGATCGACATTGCAGATTGTAAAATCATTTCATAAAATATTTTTATACCTATACGTCTGATTGTCGATAGTTTAGTTAGGTACATCTCCGTAGGCACTTAATTGCATTTGTGCATTAGTAAGGAATTCTTAATAGTACATTACGTATAATAATATGTTTCGTAACTTTTTTTTAGTAATAAGATTATTGCTAATACTGTTCAATTTAATTATACAGGCATTGTAGTTTTTGTAGCTACTATAACTGAGAACATTTACATGCATTTATATAGTAGGCAACTTCTATTAGTAGCCAATCTACATTTATGATTTACACATATCAATCACCACTGTGGTACACTCGTACTCTTATATTTATATAGTCGGTAAACATAAATACAAGACATTATGCATATACTATAGCGTACGATGATTACGATGTACCCACCTATTTACATCAATAAAAAATAGTCATTTTATTTAATTAAATTACTCATGAATAAAAACACTTTATTTGAAAATATTCAATAAATAAATCAAACTGATAAAGTTATTGAAGCCTTATTGATATTTTAATCGATTATATAAATGAGTCATCATGTCCTTAATGAAAATATACATTTTTATAAGTTTATTATTAGCTTAAATCAAATCAATATTGATGTAGAGACCTATAAGAGCCCACCTCTTATAACTTAACTACAAATGACACGGCTACAATATACTGGGTAATTATTTAACGTAAGACATCCAACAAATATTAACATTTATGAAAATATATTTTTTTGAATAATTTAATTATTTTAATTAATTTTTAAATTATTCAGTAAACTAAATGATTTAAAATTATATAAAAGTCAATATTAAATTATCTTGTTACTTATTGAAAATATACTAAAGGTAAGTCCTTAAAGCTGGTAAATAAATTATTGGTAACATAAATTGATCGAGTGTACTACACAAGTAAGAAAACAAAGATAATTGTAGCTGTGTAAATATCTAAATGTACTGTATTCAATAAAATAAACGACTAAGTTAAATCGAAAGATATAAAAAATCATATTATAATTTATAGTTTTAATTTAATAAATACTATTGATAATTAACATGTCTTAGATTAGTTTTTATAAATGTATTTAACTTTATCGAACTTGATTGATTTAAAAAAAAAAAATTGTTCTTTTTTTAAAAATAAGTATAATTTTTGATATTGTGATAGCAGTAGTAATAGTAATTATAGTTCATAATCAATTAACGAACGAATGACTTAGGCGTATAAAAGTAGGTAAGAGCGTGTTACATGACTAAAGGTAAGTTTGGTTGCCTGTAGTTATGGTGATTAGAAATTTTTTTTATACTATGACTATAATAATTACAATCTATACAAAAATAAATAAATGTATTAACACTAATAATAACAGATAGATTGTGATGCAGATGGCTTGATGGACGTGAGTAAGAAACCCTCTTATCAATATAACAAACTGTTATTTAAGTATATTTTATTTAAAAACAATCTCACTGTCATTTTTTGTAAAGTCCTCTCGATAGATTACTAGATATGATAACCAATGGTGTAAAGTTTAGAATAGAGATTTATGCAGTTTTAAGTCATAAATCAATTAACTGTTGGAATTCGAATACTCGTATGTAATTATATTGGTTATTAGTTATTACTTATTATTAATCGAGGGATTCTTATTATTTGTTTAAGATTGGAAAGTTTTTATATAAGCTTATATCGAAGTACTTGCTTGACTCTGAATTTTATTGCAAGTTAAAAACAAATAAACACTTGTTTTTTACGATATCATACACATCGAAATTGTAGTAACGCAACTGTGCATAAAATAAGCCAAAAAATTACTGTATTATTATTATTAATTGAATCGTGTAATATATAATATATAGGCACCTACATTAACTTTATCATCATAGGTGGATTATTATAGTCATATATAGTGCCACATTTGAAAGACATTTAAAACAAGAAATTCGAGCACCGTCTACGTAGGAATATTTAGGCTATAATATAATTATCGTCGGGCAAATTTGGCCGCCGCACTAACAAGTGTCAAGTACTTTTGTACGACTTACGTCCGGCGTAGTTTTGTCTTCTCTCTCGGTTCGCTCGCGCCATGCGTAGAAAAATCATTGTCCATATCATGTTATTGTATCATAACATCATATAATTATTATCGTTGCAGACGATCCTAATGGGTTCGACGCCACAAATCACCCTGTTGGTCAACGCGGTACCGTACACGCATTCCAACGGAGATAACAATACACTACTACACACCACTTACATGTCCTTTTCGTCATATTCCATCTCTCTTGTCGACTACCCTATGTACACGATACCGACGGCGGCCGTGATCGATACTCATATATAAGGGCTACTTCGCCACCCCATGAGCACCAGTGAGCAGCCTGACTTTGAAGACGATACTACAACTGTAACAGAAGTACACTCGAGGTAAATCTGCACATTTTTTTTAAACTGTTCATTTTTTTTCTCTTTTGCGCGCTATTATATTGTCGTCGGTTTTTGTTGTTTTTTTTTTTTTTTTTTTAAAGTAACATTATGTACGTACGTACAATATCATAATAACTGCGTATCAGCGATTTATACAATGTATCTACTTAAAACTATACTCGAGTACTAGATATATTATTATCCGTTTATATAACGTTATTTAAATTTATTTTACCATACCATTTCTAACTATTCTATTATATTTTATTCGTTTAAATAATACGATGTTAATTTTAATATCATATTTATTTGTTTATTCAATATTGTATTGAATTATTTTGCTTTAATTGAAAATATTCTACTTAGTAAGTTGTAACAGGGGACACTGACTACTCCGGCAATCGTTTGTTCTGATATTTAGGGGATGTTTTCATACAAGTCTGCGCAAATTTAAGTATAAAATTCTACATTTTATCTACTTGTAAATTTCGTTATTTTTAATTTTATTTTAGCAACTTAATATGAGTATAATTTGTGGTATCGTACGAGTTCTACCCTAAAATATTATTGAATTTACCTACTTGCAACTTAATCTACTAATAAATAATCGAATCATAAAAATGTATAAGGTTTATCATAAATTTTGTTCAACAACTTTGGAATATAACTCTGCGTTCTAAAAAATACTTTTAAAATTATAGAGCGTACTTATAACAATATTATACACTCGTCCGAAAAAAAAACCATATTTTGTATAGAATTCATTTTTTAAAAGCTAAACATATTATTATTAATTATTACGATTTGTCTACGAGTTTAATATATTATATAATAATAATTAATAATGATCCGATTGAACACTATTTTAAATATTTTTGTGTTTATTGAATCTACTAACATTTATAATATTTAATTTATATCATATTGTATGATAAATATTTTTAATTTTTAACAGTCAAATCTCCATCGAACATAATATATTCAACAATCATGAAATTCTACGTAGTTTTCGGTGTCTTGGCAGCTTTGGCTTTGAACGCTCTCGCCGATGAAACCAAAGACAGCATCCCGGCAACAGTCTCGTCTGCCATCGATCGGGCTACAGCCGTTACAAAAGCTACCATTTCAAGCGATAGTAGTAAGTATAGTTACAGTGATTTTAATATTTACATTTTTTCGATACGTTTTAAAAAAATAAAATTTATGATTATTGTTGTCTGACGATTGACGTTTTATAACACTGTAAATGATAGAATAAAACTATTCGTCGTCATAAATCAATGTTTAATAAAATAATTGAATGGATATTTGTTGAAGTGAACTGCAATATATATATATATATATTTATAATTTCAACAATATTGTAGTAGACGTAAAACATTGACCTATTGTTATAATTTCGATTAAATAACATTATCGACAATTTGTATTACCTAATTTTTCAATAAATATCTAAATCATTTCACTGACATAGGTACCTTTTTACACATTAAACTATTCTTACACACTTCCTATTTCAAAATTATAATAAATTAGTAAAATTAATATTTAACAAACAAATGATAAATAAATCTACAAATTAAAAAATTAAATGTTTCTCTTAAAAAGTTAAAAATGTATAAAATTTGTATATACTTATAATACTTATTATTCTATATTTTCACGAGTATCTTCAATAAATAATGAAAATTTCAAAATAATATTTTACAAACAAAAATGATACAATGATTGGTATTTTTCACACAAAAATATGAGTTATCATAATGATTACAACAAATAATAAAAATATTTTTCTCAAATACGTGACTTCACGATTTCATTATGATTAAACAGCTACATCAGCAAAACTGAACTCAGAAAACATATGATAAAATTATAGATAAAAACAATACTGAGCGACAGTCCCTTTTCAGCTAAAAAAATAATTTGCGCTTAAATAAAAAATGTTTTCGAAATCGGACAACATTAAATGTAATAAACTAAAATACATATATGATAACTACCATGCCACATTTTATTTACGTAGAATTATCGTTTAAGTTCTGCGAATGAATGTACATAACATCAATTAAAACTAGCGTATATAGTGGCTGAGGTGCTTTTTAAGTAAAAATTTTTTTCAGATGAAAACTGGTCATTAATCCCAAACAGCTATGGTGCGGTTCTCGCAGCTGGCGGTGCGGTTGTTATTGGAGTCGTCGTGTTGCTGGCTATCTCGGCGATCGTCAGCCCGTTGTTCGGCTACAAACTTTGCCAGATATTCAGCACCTGTGATGTCCCACCAGCAGCAACAGGGTACAGCGCAGACGCTTACCAATCGTTCCCGCCGACTTACAACAAGAGGTAAGCACTTCGCTTCCGTTTATAATACCGTATTATTCAATATTTAAGTACACTTGTCGTCGTGTATATAATATTATAGTCTTTTATTTTAAAAACCACTTTTTCTACGCGATTTTAATTTTTCAAAACTCTATTTTTTTTTTTTTTACGGGAAACTGTGCACTTATATTAAGTCGAGAGGAACCGATGTCGACTAAATTTTACTGTCGAGCCAAATCGCAATTTTCATTCGCTGACTTGCTTACACATTTTAAGACAGAATATTTTTACAATTTCCCTTCTCTAAATACATATAGTAATGACCGTAAAAAAATACACACAGCCGTAGTGCATTTGGCTGATTAGACACGGCGCACCATAGTCTAGATAACGTGTCAGCAATTGTTTTTATTTATTTTTTTTAGATATTTAAAAAATTATAATTATCGTGAAAAATAATTTGTGACATTAGTAAACTATATTTTAAACGTATTAAATAATTAACTAGAAATAAATTTTGAAAAATCATTGGCCTGCATATATAAATAGTATTTTATTTTTGTTTTCAGATCCATCGAGTACGTCAAACCGATCTTGCAAGTTTTGAACTCGGCCTATGAAAAGTACGGGCAAGGCGCTATCCCAGCGGGTTTGGCCAACACGATGAGAAACGTCAACGCACAACAATAATTGACTCAAATCGACATCGCCCCACCTAGTTATTAATTATGTTTCCGGAAGAATTTTAATATTTAACTCGACAATTGTCCACGACAACGGTTTATCGTATAATGTATAATGTTTGCGTGTAATAATTCATAATCACTGTATTATTTATAGTTGTAAAATATATTATACTTGTATCGTATTTAACCGACATGTCGTACATCACAAACAATAATATAATTATATTCAATAATATATAATAAAAACAATACATAATATATAAAAAAATAAAACAAATAGTCGAAAAATTATTCAAATACACATATTATATCATATACCTATCTCTAAATAAAATCTAAACAACGAAGTTTATTACGATAAACAATAGCATCCTTGGAACAGGAGCCTCTTAACTGTTATGTAATAATATTATTATGACGTGTATGATGACGCGTAGTCATCCCGTCGAGTATAACTTATAAATTATTAAAACAACTAAAGTCCTTGACGCGGTTGCGGTGTTGCGTGCGGTGCTAGTCGTCATTTCGACCGGCCGCTTAAGTGGTGGTGAGCTTGGACCTCCGGGCTAGCAGGATCATCTTTTCCTTTTCCTCTTCCTTCTGGTCGATGCTCATCTGCGACCGGATGCTGTGCGCCAGCGCCGCATTCTGCAACCGGCTGTTGCTGACCGTCCGGCTGCCGAGCGTCGGCAGCCGCTTGTGCATCTCCTTCTCCACCCACTTGAGCATGGTAAGCACAGCGTCGGGGCCGGACAACCGGAAGTCGGCGGCCGTTTGGACCATCGGCGAAGGGTCGACACGGAACGTGCACGCTATGCCCTGTAGCGCCAACATGGCGTCCTCATTGCCCGCGTATACGACACGCACTCGTTCTGACCAGTCGACGCCGTATGTGGTGCGCAGTATATAAATGGACGCACGGCCCTGGTCCCATGTGACGGGCGGCTTGCCTTCGATGGCTAGGAACCCACGGTGGGGCTCGAATCCGGCCGCCTCGAATATCTCTACCGCTCGGCGTTCCAGGTGTTCGCGTCTGGCTACCGGCACCTCCCGGTAATGGTACGTCAGCATCACCCCCTTGTTCTCCACCCAAGCGCCATCACCGCACACCTCGTCCGCGAGCATCTTTTGTAGCTCGGCGACCTTTTGTTCGTATTGCCTGGGCACCGGATGCACGAAGTTGGTGCCGTCCGGGTGTAGGATCTCGATGCCGTGACTGCCGGCGTACGTCACATTCTCGATGCCTACCATAGACTTGACGTTGTCCAACGTCCGGCCCGATATGATCGCAATGTTCACGTCCGCCATGCGGCTAAGCCGCTGTAGTACCTTGACTGTTTCCTCGGACATAACAGCCAAGTCGGGATGAGACGTAAGGTGCGTGAGCGTGCCGTCGTAGTCCAGAATCAAGCTCAGCTTGCCAGCGCCCGCGATGTGGTTGCTAAGGTACATGTCGAAGTCGTCCAGCTGCAGGGTCATGCTCTTTGGTGGCAGGACGGTACCGTCGTCTGCGCTGCCATCACCGGCGTCATCGCCGAGCGCGCCCATTGATGAGAAGAACGACGTCATCCAGTAGTTGACGTCTAGCAGCTGTTCGCGGTGTCTGAGCTGTGTCATACGCAGCTCGCGCTCGTCAAGCGGCATCCGCAGGGCCCGGTTTAGTACGGTGGCCATCTCGTCTAACTCGTACGGGTTGACTAGTAGCGCCTCGTGCATGGTGCCTCCGGCGCCGGCAAACGGCGACAGGATCAACACGCCCGGCGTCCGGATTTGGCATGCCACGAACTCTTTAGCCACTAGGTTCATGCCGTCCCGGAGCGGCGTCACCAAGGCCACTGCACAGTCTCGGTACAGAGCGGCCAACTGCTCTTGGCTCAAGCACCCATAGATGTACCGGATCGGCGACCAGTTGGGCATCGAGAACCTGCCGTTGATGCGGCCGATTAGCAGCTCCGTCTCGTCCTTGAGCTGCTTATACTCCTTGACGTCCGTTCTAGACGGTACTGAGATCTGCAGTAGCACAACCTTCTCCCAGTGCTCCGGATACTTGTCCAGGAACTTTTCGAACGCCAGGATTCGGTGTACCAGACCCTTGGTGTAGTCCAGCCTGTCCACGCCCAGTATTACCTTGACGTCTTCCGACAAATTTAGGAACGTTGGGGCTTTCTCTGACAATTGAACGAAACGGTCGAATGGTATGCCAATCGGAAGCGCCTTAACTTGTACGGTCCGACCGGCCAACTCCACTAGCATATTAGTCCGATCCACACGACATCCGAGCCGCCGACAGCAGCAGTCAATAAAGTTCAAACAGTAGTCTTCAATGTGGAACGCGGTGAAATCGTAAGCTGTAAGTAATTTAATTTCAGATATTATTTATTATAATTTATATTTTATAATATAATGTACGTATGTTGAGCATATTGTCAGTACACCGTTTTTTTATATTTAGATACCTATAGTTTATATATAAGTTATGTCTATCGTGATAGTTGAAATTAATGGAAATTTTAATTTTTCGAAAAATATAGCAATGTGTTTACTAGACAATTTTACAAAAGGAGCAGTCTAAATTTTGTAAAATTTAATTTTAATTTTTAAAGTATGCCATCCACAAATTCACAAATTGTGTAATCTGCGTGAAATGTATTATGACGTAGGCAAACAACTGTTATCACCCGTCACTGTGCACATTGTAATACATATGCATGTGTAGAACATCATAAAAAACGTTGTACATTCGTCCTAAACGAAAGTTAAAACGTTATTATTTTTACTATTAAAATATCTATTTTAATTAAGACGGTGAGACAGTAAATTAGATAGTCTAAATAATTGTAAAATAAATTGCATCGATTATATTGTTAATTTATTAAAAACATACGTTAAAAATTGGTTAAATGTAATCTAAAAAATAATTGTAATACGTAATAAATTATATTATTAGTTAATAAATTTATTTTAAACCACTAAAAAATAGTTCGTCTTAAAACTAAATTGATAAATTATGTTTTTATTTAATATTCACAAAAAAATAATATACGTATGTCGTATATATATAAAACACGGCTGTTTATCAATTACGATTATTTCGTATTTTTTTTTTTTTTTTTTTAAACAATATATTTTTAAATTATAAAAATATAATGCTCAAAGCTTCAAATATGCAAAAATATGCAGTATAGCATAGATACTCATACAGTTTTATGTAATATATAATCTTTAAAAAATAATATGTAAAAAAACATTTTAACCAAATTTCAACTTTATTTCACTTTCTATGAATTATAAATTAATATAAATAGTCGTAGTACGCTTAATTTGCAGCCTTAATTAAAACTTTATAACCCTTAGGTATATATTATATTAATATACACACCCTAAAGCTCTCAATCAATAAATGTTAATAAGAAGAGTTGCTACTGAAAGTTTCCATTTTAAAATTTAAACGTAACACCAGTACACCACTGAAGGTTATCCTATAATATACTACTTATACATTTATTATGTTATTACATAAATTACATCGTTTTTGGCACTACTATTCGATTCACGTAACATTTTAGTCATTATTTATTTTTTATGACCTATGTTCGAAAGAAAAATATGATTGATAAATATTGTTTTATGTGTATTAAAATTAACCATTTTTAAAATAATTTTGTTAATAGTTTTATCTGTCTAAGTAAAATTTAATGAAATATATTTTTATTACATATAATGAGGACTAGTTTCTAAAATTCACGTAATCTAAAATCGGATCACTACTCAACGATCAAATAACACAGATTTAGATAGGTAATGTTAACTTACCCAACATTCCCTGGAGGATTTGATCGTCCCAAGGCAACAGTCTCATGATGTCCCACGATGGAAACGGTATATGTAAGAAGAATCCCAGTTTGCACCTTAGATTTTCTGCTTCGCACACCTGACGAATTTTGGTCGCAGTTGTCAGTAACTGATAATCATGGATCCAAACCAAAGGGGCTGTGTGATGATCTCCGGCGTCATCTAGTTTTTTTATGGCATCCCGCAGAGCATGCAGCGTGCAATCAGCAAACTTGTCGTTAACTTTGCAATATGTCTAACGTGAAAAAAAATAGAAATACAAAAATAAATTATAACCTGTCAATGTACACACTCAAGGTCAATAAATTATTACTTTCCAATCCCTAGATACGAAATTCGCACGGTCGGGCATCGAATGAAATAACGGCCAAAACGTGCCATTACAACAACCGTTGTAGAATTCTTCGACTTCAGTTTTATCTAAGTGTACCGGAATAATCTGTAATAATAAAATATAATACAATATTAATCACTATAAGAACTTGTAAGAATTACGTAATACGCGATTAACAGCAAATGTGTGAAAACTCTAAATTCGTACAGGGATAAGAAACGGGAAAACGTGTATTAACTGTTACATATCATGCATACCTATATGAGTGGTGTCACTGTATGAGTAATTTTTCTGTTATTTAAATAGTTATATTAAGGATAGTAATCCTTAAAAATGGCTTTATAAAAATATGAAATAGATGTAATATTTGATCTATAGTATTTATCATCCTTGGTCAAATTTTACAAATTTTAAAATGTTAATAAGTTAATAGAACCTATTTAAATAAAATGTATATCTATATAATTGTTTTATATTAAAATGATCTTACTTGACTGGATTTGAGTCCAGCAGTTGGAGCTCTATCTTCCGGATCAGATTCTGGAATTGGATCATTGGGTTTTAAATCGAACGAACCGGACCATCCAATCCATGTGCCATTACATTCGACAACAACCGGTGCGACGGCCGTTACAAGACCACCGGCACTATAAATTAAGCAGATTATTATAATAATATGATTATAGACTTGTAAGCGTTATAAAACATTTTCAATCTTGAAATATGTTCTAACTAATCACGAAAAGTAACAAAAAATACAACGTATATAAATGTAATATTTAGGAAATAGTATAGGTATTTTTTCAATTACTAAAATATTCAATATATACATATTAATTCTATTTGTTTTAGACAGTGCTGCAAGGTCATAACGAAATGTATTGCTTACCTTTGTTTCCGCATTAAGCTTCCATCTGAATTTTTACCCAACACGAATGGAAGTCGATTGGAAACGACGATGAGAGGCGCATTGATCTCTTTCTTTTTATTTCCCATGCCGGATAAATCTGTAAGTAACAAATAAATTTTTCGAACTTAGTCTTAAGGAAATGCGTCGAGAGAAACACCTTTTAAGTCAAACGAATAAAAATGAAGTGAAATTGTATTGCTTTTTTTCCTCATTTTATCCTGTCGAATGGAAACTTATTATTATTATTATTTTTTCTTATAATCGAAATTGGGACGAAGCCTTTCAAAAACAGCATTTTAGTCTCGTTGTTCAAAGTGGAATTGAATTCTTACGCACACATACATGTACACATATTAAATATAATATATATATATGTACGACTGAGAATTGCAAGGTGTACATATTAGTAGCCATTATAACAGTCCACTAATTTGAATAATAATTATGATCTATAATATTCTGTCCTGCAGTATATAGTGCAGTATAATACACACACACACACATACAGATTTTATACTGTTTATTATTATTTTTTTTGAGTAGTAAGTATGAGACATTGAAGTAAAGTATAATTTTTCAATTAATATTGTTTAATGCAAATTTTTCATAAAACATAAATAGTTTTATACTACATAAGTATTTGACTCTGATTTTCCGTTAAAATTTTATACATTTAATAATAACAAATTACTATTTAATATTGATATGAAAAATATGTTTTATAAATATTAAAGGATGAGGTACTATACAATTTCAATATAACGTGTATACAATTAATATATGTACTTATAATTTATAACACATTAATACCTGCTTAAAAAATAGTTTTAATTTAATGGTATTTTCTATTAATATAGAATTAATGTGTTCAATTAAAATGAGAATAACAAAACATATACTCGTATAAAACATTTTGTAAGATTTAGGTATTATAATTTTTAATTGACATCATAGAACACGATAAACATTTAGTTTTCAACTTCAGAATGAATCTGTTACGATCAAATATTTATTATTTTTTCAAGATATGATCATATATCGTATTCAATATGATTAATTATAAAGTTAATATTTATCGGCTTTAAATTCTGTATATCATTAAATAGCATACATTTACCGCTCTTTTGTAGATAATAATTTAATTATTTATATTATTTAAACTAGTAAATACATTCATTTAATTGCGTGACCATAAAATAATATCTAAATGGCAAATTACATTGAATACGGTTTATAAATCATCATATCATAATGAATCACTAATAAAAAATAAAATAATAACGATATATAGAAAATAGAAATAAATTATGTTCCACTTCCAAAAAATATTGTTGAATTAATAACAATTAACCGTTTTTGATAATTCGTTTGAAACCAATTATTTTAAAATCATATCAAGCAGTACACAAAGAGATTAATTTAAATATCAATTTTTTTTTATAGTGTAAAGAAGGCTTGTGACGTCATTTGATAACCTTGGGTATTAAAACAGAAGGTAATAAATTATTTGAATATTACGGAAAATGTGATAAGCTATAAAACTGTTACGTGAAACTTAAACCAAGCGCTGTACGAGGACTTGTAGTTTTCTTGCTTTATTATTATCCACTTAATTAATTAAATAAACAATTGCATAATTATAATAATATAGTAAGCATTTTATGCTAAATAAAAAAAAAATGATAGTTAACTAACAATTATTTGTAAGACAATGTAATATACCTATTAACTATACGCCATATGCTACGGTTATGTTTTTTTTTTTTTTTTTAGGTTCTGCCGTGAAAACCTTAATATAAATAAACTTATTGGTATTTTCTATAAGCCATCGAATATGTAAATTACAACTGTTTCGGAATATATATTTAATATTTATGACTATAAAAACACACCAATAGGTTTGACCGTGACGGTGTGTACGAAAAACTATTAAAAATCTAAAATATTAAATATGATTTAGCTATTAAGAAAATAACAATTATTTTAACTAACTATGATGCGATAATTACGAGTAATAGATGGGTAATATTATCATAATACCCGGGACGTATAACACCATTATAATATATTGTATTTAAATTTAAATTTAAAACCGTAACGCGCGAAAAGTTTATTGCCGTTTATTTCTTGTATATTTTATTCTCGAGTTTGAATACATTTAAATAGAGTTAATTTACATCGACAATTCATTCTGACGAGAAATTATTTTAATTGCCCATAATATATTAAAGGAGAGTTTTGAAAATATATTTTCGTCCAATAATTCACCAACGAATGGTCGTGGGTCACGTGCAATTTATTTTACGAAAACGTTTTTAAACAAAATAATAAATAGACAATTTGTTAACCAACATAATATTTTTATATCTCCATACTTAGTTGAAAGAAACTAAATAGAAACGTAGTCGAATAACTCTACGAAACGAAACTCTAGGAAATTGTATTTTTTTTTCACTCCAATCTCGAAAACATTAAATTAAAAAATATACCGAGACGCTCGATAGCCGAGCCTAGTCAACAGTGATCAGATTACGCGGTACACGCTACAAGACCCTCCTATCCCCCAACAAGTCTATTTGTGCAATGTATGTTATCGTCGAGCAGATTTAAAATATTTACAAGTGGCAAACGTGATAAAAAAAAAAAAAATTAAATTCTACACACGCGTATTGTGTGCAAAACCGTTCTCAAACGAAGAGAAACTATACGCAAGCCGTATAAACGTATTGTCGGGAGGCACCTTTGCATTATATGCCTACATAAGATTACGAGTATAAAAATGATTTCTGACGAATTTAAATTTTACGAACAATATTGTATAAAATAGCGCACTTATACGATTAATCCAATTCGCGTCAATGAAATAATTACGAATGGTTTAGTATTATTTTAAAAGCTATTATTATTAAATTGTTGTCTTAGTTGTGTTGTCTTACTTTGGCCATTGGTCCGGAATAAGTTGTTGGGTGCGTTAGAGTCATAATCGTTGATGCTTACACGGCGACTGGCCATGGTGGTGACGCGAATGACAAGATGATTTTATTAATTATTATTATTATGTATATTATATTATATCGATTAATCGATCAGACTGCCTCGACCATACGAACGATCGACTGTTCGAGTGTTGACTGTAGACTATCTGTCTGAACGACTCGGGTTATATATAAGTAAAACGCGTTCTTATCATAAATCGGAACCAAGACAACTTAATATTATCATAGCACACACAAACCGTACGCGCTATTATAATGTTATGTTGCGTGGGTTGGGAAAATTCGATCATTACCGTTTCAAGTTATCAGATTTTACTATTTTGTTATAGATATTAACATTGAACATAATTAAATTACATTATTATATGCATACGAGTTCGATATGGATTTTCGATAATAAAACACGTTGATCGCGAATGGCGATAATATACCGTCCGACGGGTTCGTTCGCGAATCTGTGATCGTATAATTTGTAGTAACACCGCTGCTGTGACACTCGGCCAACAAGCCTACACGATTGTTTAATAATTTTATTGCAGGTGGGTGGAGAGGGGGTCCTAACTACCTAACAACGTATTCTGTCCGGCATGCACGTTCGAAAACAACAACAACAACATCAACAATAATAATAATTAAATCAACGTGTATATCACTTGTCCTTAAGAGATTTAAATTTACATATGCGGTCTACGCACATATTCAATAGGGATTGTGACCACTTCCCTTCTCGACAAAAATTATTCTGTAAAAATTAATTCCACCTGACCGTTTGAAAATAACGACTTACGGTAGTTTTAATTATTTGTCACACATGTAGAGAGGAGGAGAGGGGCACATAATTTGTACTGAACAATCTTTGCCATAATATTTTTTACAGAGTGGTTCAGCAGTCAATATAACAATATAATATTATATTGAAATGATAATACCGGTACAATCGATATTTTTGTGGCCCATGCAGACGCCATGCCGTGATAACGAGTAATTGCATAAATCATCGAAAGTCTTATCTGTTAATCGATTATTTAACTAACATCAAATTAATGTATTGACGAATTAAAAGCGACACGTTATTTATGTATAAAAACGATGCACATATTACAAACATAGTTTTAAATGTGTAAATACTAAATACTCATTTTCTATACAGAATATATACAGATATTATACCATTTTAGCGTAGTATCATATCATTTATAAATTAAACATATATACTCACACGTTTATCTGGTAGTTTTATAATACCTATTAATTATATTAAGTAGTCCATTCTTTTCTTATACTAAATTTAAATATTAATTTGTAGTAGATGTAAACATTTTTTTGTTGAAAAACGAAATCAATCATTATCTCTTTCAATAGAAAAGGGAAAAATACGTCTATAATGGAAACGAGTTTTCTTAGTGAGGCCTAAGAACCTGTAATAACTAACGAGATTTAAATTATAAAAACGAAAAAATAATAAACTAATAACTATAATAAATAATATTTTGGCGTATATACGGCGGTATACTGCAGTCGTTTAAATTTTGCGTCGCCTACAAATTTTATAGGAATTACGTTAAATACGATCCCTGTATATTTCAGATATATATAAAGGTATTTAATAATTAATATGTCAATTCAGTCACAACGGGTTTTTAAGTTTCTGAAAATATCAAAGCTGTTATAAAATTAAAACGAAAACATACTTCCTAAAACAATACACTATGAATACATACATATTAATATAATACAATACTTCCATGAATTATAATATATCGTGCGGGATATTTTTTTTTTAATCACAAATCTAACGATTGAACATTGCAGCAAATTTATCATTAATTGAAAAATTCACAAATATTTTGTTATATAGTATATAATGTTTTATATATTAAAACGCGTGTCGAGAATGTACTATACATTGAACTTCTCAAACAATAATCATTTGCGTATCCAATTAAATTTCTAAAATTAATATTTTCGTAAAATGTTCGAGGTTAACACTGGTTATTTTTAAGGTATCCTTTTCACTAAAAATATATAGTTCTATTCGGTAAAATAAATTCCAGCATTTGCGGTTTTGTTCAGTTGACGCCAATCAAATCAATTTCCTTCCTTCCTTTCTTCCTTCCTCGTCAGTCAAATAATTATTTCGTACATAATTTATTGAAGTTGTCGGGAAAAACTATTTTCTGCGTAAAACAAAAATATGAATTATGGCGTAGAAATTAACCAATCTCTGGGCAGGACGTTCACCCCCGCGATTGATAAGGCCACACTGACAAATTGCAAATTAACTTATAAAATGTTTTACAGATGTTATTGACAAATTATGATTCACATCATAATTGTACTTATAAATTATAATATACGAACATAATATACATGTCGTATATAACTATTATATTATCTGATAAGTAATAATGTTCGATTATCAGACGAACTTCGATCTCATTACAATAATAATAACACGGTAATACGCAGTATACTTAACTATTATGCCACATATTAAACATATCAATAATTTATATTGTGTTAAGTACAAACCCGATGTATTTTCAATGTATATCATAATATTACATATATTGTATATCTGATGTTAAAATGTGATTATTTGCAATAGTTATTGTATTTGTGTTGAGTTATTACTTATTATGCAAGTACATAATTATTAACGACGACTAATAAAACAGCCATATTATTATTCATTGTAGGTATTGTAATAATTACAAAACTACAGTATTATAGAACTACACGTGGCTCGTTGTGGTTTATATACACAAATAACTAATACCTAAGGAATCTATATAGTGGTACAGTTATTAGTTATTACCCACCTATTACCTATCTACTTATAACTTATTTGATGATTTAATCCTAATATTCTAAAACACGTTTAGGAATAATTTAGTATATTATTTTTTAATCCTATGGAATACACACACAATTGTTAATAGGTAATTAATCGATGTATTTTTTTGTAATTTTACCAAAATGTTAATAAAAAATTGATTTTTTTTACTGAAACCCCTAAGACTTATTAATAGTTGTAATAAAAAATGAAATATATATTATTTAAATATATAGGTACTTAAATAGTTTTCATTTTCAGTTTTTAATCATTTCAACTTTCAAGTATGAAGTTTTTAATAAGGCGTAAGAATCGAAACCAGTTTCACATATACTTTTGAACTTAATGCTTGTAAACCAAACATTTTTTATGATTATTGATTACTTATCCACTGTAGATCAGTATCATTTGTATTAGATAATATTATTAAAAACACAAAAACGGTGGTAGGTATACTTCAATTTTTACTTTCAACTAAGTTCATACTAAATACTGTATCAAATATTTGCTGTATCGATTTCCAATACCAATAACTCTTGTAGTTGTTTAGAAGTGTAATTTGATAACAACGATTAATACCTCCTAGAAGCAACACTTTCTTTGGACGTGTGAATTTAAAGCAGCGGGCAAAAACTATGGCAAAAGTATTTTATTTATTACCTACATATCTAATATTTATGCATAGGTACGTGTATTTACATATTACTACAATAGATATCAATTAGTAGGCATCAAAGTACCAAGTAAACAAAAGAAAAAGTATTAACAAACAATAAATCACTTGAAATGTAAATAATTGCGATTAATGAACTTCTGTGTTTACAATTTTCGATTTTGTACCATATACTCGATATAAAAGTGCGACATTAAAACATAAACTTCAAGTAGTATACAGCCCTTGAATATAATGTTTTACGTATTATCTGAATAATTCAAAATGTCGATAACAACAATACAAGGAAGGAGTTAAGGTCAACAATTTTAAACATTCGTAAATAACAGGTTAATATTATTATTTATTTACAATAAGATGTTCACGAATAAATTGGTAAATTATTTAAATTTTAAACAGTATTTATAGGCTTTTTAGGCGAACCCTTTAATTTATTTATAAACACTTTAATAATAATATCATCGATTTACAGCCATCGTTACTGAAAATCATCAGCCGAAATTCGTTGCATTATCCTAACAATAAATATATTTTGGATAATCAACGTTTAAACGATTTGGAGAATTACAAGTATTCGTAATTAAAGTATTTTGCCAGCACGTATGAAAAATATAGTATATGGTATATGCAAAGTAGGTATTAGATATATCAGTTATTTAACTATTTAATATGTATTATAATCTCTTACAAGATATTATGTTTTAGAGTAAACATCATAATAATATTACTAAATACTCGATGTTCCGGTTTTATTATTATTTTTACATAACATAAAAAAAAATAAAAAAATAAATATCATATGGTATTAATTATTACTTTGTTTATTGTTTATAACCTAAAGGTATAATATTGTAATCAATTATATGTTATGTTATGTTATGTATGTAATACATACATAATACGTATATATGCGCATAATAATATATATATATTATATATGTGTACTAACGTTTTGTACAGAGCTTGCGCTAATGGGTAGTTCTAACCAATATGGGTAGTTCTAAATTAAAATGGGCAATTCTAAAAGCCAATTTGGTCATTACCAAAAATCGTGAATTTTCTGTATTATTGGCATATTATGTAATATTGTTTAATTTAATTATAATATGTATTTTATTTAATATTTTTTGTTTGGTTTTATCACCACAAATGTTATCAATCATGAATCCATTCCATAACATTTATTATCATATACATGTAGAAGATTGTATAATTTATATGATAACACGAAGCAATTCGAGCAATACAGTACTAATAATAATGTGACCATTCAATATTTAAACTCCGACCATAATTACCAATAACACAGAACAATATAGTATAATATAGTATATGAATTACATACTTGGTAAAAACTAAAAGTTTATAACGGGTAATAAATACCACAGCTGATTTCTATATAGTATAAGATATCTGTGATAAATATTAAATACATAACTGTCACAATGTTTAAATATTGTTAAAAAAAAAAAAAAAATGTTTTAATTTGTTATTATTATTAATTGTAATAATGTAATGAATAAAGTTTTGAATAAAGAATTTACATGTGTAGTCATTTTATAGTAAATAGTGGTTGTTAAACGAATTTAGCGAACGGCAAATTTAGTTAATCTGCATGTACAAAAATATTAAAATGTTGGGCAGTTCTAAAATTTTCTTAGCGCTAGCTCTGGTTTTGTATCAAAACAGTACCAAGGTCTATCGCGATTTCACAGCTGATCAAGGGAAATGTCAAAAGTTAATAGTAACGTAATATTATTATACGCTCTATTTATTTATCTACTATTTGCAAA